ATTTTGTTTAAGCATAGGAGAAATAAAGATATAACAGAAAGGTAGAAAAAGAGGTAGGAAAAATCACAGTAGTCTGGCCATTGGGATGTACGCACTTCGCTATGTGAGGAATGTAGGTGGCAGCCGAAGTTCATTTGTACCACAGTTCCTGATGACAGTTTCTATTCATTTGCATTTTCTTTTCTTTTTTTTGGTTTGGTTTGTTTTTAGTGTTTTCTAATGAAACATTTAAGATTCTTGCTTACAATTATGAACTTGGCAGTGTGGTGCGGTCAAGTCAGTGCCAAATGTATTTGTGTGTAGGTTTTGAGTGGTGAGGGACAATCACTTGGAGCCGATGTCAATAGCCATAAATGGCTGTAATGTGGCAAAACCCAAGAATCAGTGAGGTGCGGAGTAGCAGTATAGTGAGCTCACCATTCTGTGAGGGGTATATATAGATGGAGTAGAAGGAGGAAGCATACTGCAGTCTTGTCATACCATATAGAAGATACTGGCATTGGCACACTGTACCACCGAAATAGTGTTTTGAACGATTGCTCTTGGAGGGTTATGCAGATGGATGACTGTGTATGCCTCCCATATGTCTTACCAATCTGTACCCTCCAGTACCTCGCCCAGGTCAGCCTCCCACAGATCCGTATATCTGAGGTTTCCCACTTGAAAACCAGAGTAATGTATCTTTCCTGGTTAAATACTTATTCATTAAACTCCACACTGAGGTGGCTATACAGGAGGGATATGGGGCCTTTTGACTGCTTTTCCTGAAAGCACATTTTTGTAAAAAATGTAAGTGGATCAGCAGCTGCTGCTCGTCCCTCAGATTTGGTTGTGAAGTCACGTATATGTAGGTACCTAAAGTACTCTCTGTTGGAAAGTGGGGCGAGCTCCTTGAGCCTATCAAATGTGACTGGAGCTTTGTCAACGTACAAGTGTACATATCTTTAGAGTCCTGTGTGTTCAATCCCTCGAAAGTCTCTAGCACATATCCCTGGGGGGAAGACCCTGTTACGGAATACAGGTGTCATCAGAGATGGGAATTTGCTGAATGAGTACTTTTATGCTACTTGGTACCATAATCTGATCGAATTTAGTATGGCTGGGCAAGAAGTACGTATAAAGACCCTGTTCTCCTTAGGTAACCATATAAAAGATCTCCTCCCATCAGGAGTGATTCAATATCTACCCAGCTCCTGTGGTCGGGGGGAGAGTGCCACTGCACAATTTTGGCTAGTTGTAAGGCTAAGTAGTAGAGGTACATGTTCGATAACCCCATCCCACCTCTATTTTTGGGTCAGTAAAGCAATTTACGAGCTATTCTGGGGCACTTCCTCTGCCAGATGAATGTGTCTATGGCCTTTTGTAACCCTGCTAAGTCCCTTCTTGTGACCTGCCCTGGTAGGGCTTGGAAAAGAAACAATAGCCTGGGGAGGATATTCATCTTCCCTCAGTGAAGTCTGCCATGCCACAAGATAGGCATATCTGTCCATTGCACAAGGTCCTGGAAAAGGCTGCAGAGTGTTGGCAGGTAATTATGGTTGTATAACTGTGTGTGGTCAGCTAATGCCTAGGTAGGAGAGGGTGCTGTCAGTGAGGTGTAACTTATATGTGTCTCTGATCTGTGCCATGTCCTGGGCCAAAAGGTGGAAAGGCATTGCCATGGATTTAGCCAGGCTGACTTTATATCCTGACAGGTCTCCGTAGTGATCTAACAGTTTAGTCAGGTGCATATGCTGATATTTTGAACTGTCGTTCAGCTACATCCACCCCCTGTATGTGTGGATGCTGTTGGATGGCCTGTAATAGCATCTATAGGGAGAGCGTGAAGAGCAATCAGGACAGGGAGCAACCGTGCCTTTTGCCATTATTTAAAGGAAAGGGGTGCGACGAGACCCAGTTATTAAGGTTTCGGCTCTGAGGTTTGTTTATAGGGCCTGGACAGCCACCACATAGGGTTCCAGTAAGCCCCATGCCCGGCGTAGGTTAAAGAGTATGGCCACTTCACCTTGTCGAAGGCCTGTTGCAGTGTGTCCAAGGACAGTGCCAGAGAAGGCCCTCCCGAGCATGACATGCACCATGTCACTACAGCTCCCTTTTGAGTATTTTCATAGAGCTGTCTGCCTGGCACAAACCCCCCTGTTCAGGATGGACCAAGTATTTCAACAGTGGATTTAGTCTGGTAGCCAAAATTTTGGCATAGATCTTTAGATCTGAATTGTAGTTGGATGCTAGCTCCTCATCTCTACCTGGTTTTGGTAATAATGTGCTGTTTGCTAGCACCATGTCTGAGTCTGGTGCACCTCTGTCCAGAAAGTCATTAAAAAGTGTAGCAAGCTGGGGGACCAGTACTTCCCTAAATTTTTTATATAACCCCACGTCGTAACTGTCCAGTCCCAGGGCTTTATTACCTTTGATGGGCCATGATAGCTGCGTCACCTTCTAGTAGTGTGATGGGTGCACCCAAGGTCCCTACCTCTGGTCCCGTGAGTTTTGGCAAATCTAGGTCCAACGGGAATGAGTGTAGGTCTGCACAACCATCGGGGGCAGACCCCTCTGGTTGTGGGCAATGGTTGTATAATGTTCAATAATAGTCTTAAAAGACTTTGTTAATGGCGTTTGAACTGTCAGCTACGTACCCCGCTGATGTGCGAATTTTAGTGATGGGCCAAAATCCACTCTGGGAACTCAGTGATCTTGCTAACATTGTATCCTTTTTTGGGGGATTTTTCATAATACAAACGCTGAGACCACAGAATGGAGAGAGCCACCCCTCAAAGGAAAGTGCTTTAATAAAGTGTTGCAGCGCGTTCAATTCTGTCAGTTTGTGTGCTTTGGGGTTTGCTTTGTGTTGTGGTAATGCTTTTTTTAAAGCTGATTGCAGCTCCAAGAGGAGGTGGGTTGTGTGTCGCTTTTTGTGTGTAGCTACCTTGATGAAGTGGTCCATCAGAGCCAACTTATGGGCAACTCAAATGGCTACTGGGTCCACATCTGTAGAGACATTGTGAGTAAAGTATTCTGATATGATTGTGCTGGTGGCATTACATAAGTCCTTGTCTTTGAGAAGGCTAGTATGACCTCAATGTCTGTGTGGTCAGACCAGGTTATGCTATTTATGGCAGAGTCCGCAAGTTTTGCCATACCTGGAGAAGGATGTTGTCTATCCTGGAGTATGTACCGTGCGGTTTGGAGTAGAATGTGAAGTCCCAGGTGCTAGGGTGCTGGATTCACAATGCGTCTAGAAGGTTGGTGTTTTTTCAAGAAACGTGTGAAATAGTTTGTCCTTTGACCCCCTCCCATGGGACCGAACCATTCCCGGTTTTGTGCTCCTATGAAGTGCTGGACATGGCACTGCATTGAAATCCTCTCCCACTTCAAGTACGCCTACCATCTCTGTCCCTGCCAGTGTTGTGAGTGAGTTCCAGTATTGAGGATCAGGTTCGTAGGGAGCACGTACATTAATAATGTGAATTTTAGTGTTATATAGGGTACCCGATATGGAAATATACCGACCCACAGAACCCCAAACTTGGATGGGGCAGCTTTTATGAGCGAGGATTGCTATGCCTGCTTGCTTATGTAGTGCTCTGGCACCGGTGTACTGGCTATTGGTCAACCTGGCCATTGTTAACCTGGGGAGGTGCGTTTCCTGGCTTCCTGAAAAGGGAAGAGAGTTTGCTTTCAACTCTCGCAAGAGCAATTGCTACTTTGTGGGGGTTTTCAACCCCTTTACATTAAAAGTTTGCATTTTCAGCAACATTGTGGGGCCACGTGTGTATGATTGGGCACAAATTATATATGATCAAAAATAAAAGAAGAGAAGAAGAAAATGTAATACAGTGCAACAAAAAATACAATTGTGTGAGTTTTCATTCAGGCTGTTGGTGTAGTAATATGTTATTACTATTATATTAGGGAGAGGTATTAGCAGGAGAAAGAGGAAAGTACTCATGCCATTGTACAGGACACTGGTATTGTATGCAGTACTGGAGACTGTATTTACAGAAGGATATTGATACTATAGAAAGAGTTCAGAGAAGGGCTACTAAGCTGGTTCATGGATTGCAGGATAAAACTTACCAGGAAAGGTTAAAGGATCTTAACATATATAGCTTGGAGGAAAGATGAGACAGGGGGGATATGATAGAAACATTTAAATACATAAAGGGAATCAACATAGTAAAGGAGGAAACTATATTTAAAAGAAGAAAAACTACCACAACAAGAGGACATAGTCTTAAATTAGAGAAATAATAATCAGGAAGAATTACTTTACTGAGAGGGTAGTGGATGCATGGAATAGCCTTCCAGCTGAAGTGGTAGAGGTTAACACAGTAAAGGAGTTTAAGCATGCGTGGGATAGGCATAAGGCTATCCTAACTATAAGATAAGGCCAGGGACTAATAAAAGTATTTAGAAAATTGGGCAGACTAGATGGGCCAAATGGTTCTTATCTGCTGTAATATGTTTCTATGTGGAATATTAAGGTGTCTTCTACATTTCCCCCAGAGCTACCAACCTCCCAGCTCATTAGTCCCTATACCCTTTTGGTACTTAGCTGGACCAGTGTGGAAGTGAGAGTTCAGTCACTGAGGTGTGGAGTCCATCGTGTTAAGGTTTCTGATTGTCAATCAAGGATTCTGATTGTCAGCGTGGCATCCTGGTACTGCAGGACGTTGTCCCTGCTAAATCTCACAATGGCTTCCTTAGTGGAAGCGGAGAATAACATTGCGGGATGCTGCTCCTTCCATTCTTCTGGCATGCAGAGCTCTGTTGGCTCAGTCAATCTGCCATTTCTCTTCGAGTATGTTGGGTAGTAGGTGTTTGAAGAATTCTTCAAGCTTCACTGCTAAAGGCCATTCAATGGGAGATTCAGGGAGGTCTCTCATGCACCGATTATTGAACCTGGAATGGTTTGAGAGGTCCTTCACCTGCATCTCTAAACTATCCAGTTGCTGGGCCATGTAGACAGCATGTGTCACTGCTGTGTTCTGTGCTCTCACCACCATGCGGTGTCCATGCGTACACCTAATGCTTGAATTTCAGCTTTTACTTCCCTGGAGCTGTGGGCAATTTCTCCTGCCAGATCATTGTTCACCTCCGAGAGTTTCTTGAGGATCTGGGAGGTTTTACCAGTGGGACTGTCCTGTGCTTCACTTTCTGCCACGGATGCAAGAGACTGCAAGCTATCTTGGAAGTCTGAAGCGTGTGGGAGGCCGCATACCAAACCATCACAGCATTGCAGCGGTTTAACTCCGGATCTGGCACCAGACATGGTGAGGTGACTCAGTGGCATGTGCTAACTAAAATGTGGGTGGACAGGAGCACTCAGTTCATGTGTCCATTAGGGTTGATGGCCAATCCATGCCCCCAGCAGCTTCCTGTTTGAATGGGTTTCCAACCTCTATTTCTCATATTCAAATACCATACCTACAAGTAAAGGGCAGATTAGTACCAGAAGTGACCTTTCTCTGAAACCGATATTTATTGAATAAGTTAGGTTTATAGTGTTGGGGAACAGATGAAATTAGCCACTGAGTTTACCTTCTCTCCCATGCCAGCTCCCTTTAATATCATCAGCAGCCTACATCATAAGCATTTGAAAATAAAGCTGTCCATCCTTAATTCCAAAGACCAACTGATTGAAAGCATGGTGGGTGAGAGTGCAGTGAGCTCTTCCTGATCACTGTCTGAGGAGAGTGGCAGAAAGATAGGTTGAGCATGAGAGGCTGTATTTAATAGCCCCTCATGACTACAATTTTTTTTTACACTGTGTTTTCACCCACCCTGCATATCGTAGTCTGCCCATTAGACAGGTATATTAAAAATACTACAAAGAGGAGAATGATCTAGATGTTCTCGAACCGAAACAATCTATGAAACAATATTATGATACATAGTGCAAACAGTAAAAGACTTAAGAAATATATATTTATTTAGGGTCTGATTTCTTAAGTCCTTTACTGTTTGCACTATGTATCGTATTTCTGTTTTATAGATTGTTCAGGTTCAAGAACATCTATATCATTCTGCTGTTTGGTGTAGTATTTTTTACTTATTATGTAAGCTCATTGAGCAGGACCCTCAATCCCTCTGTTCCTGTGCATCCAACTTGTCTGGTTACAAATACGTGTCTGTTAATCCATCCATTGTACAACAGTATGGAACTTGTTGGCGCCTTCTATATAATAATATAAATAATAATAAGGAATATAGATTTCTTCCTTAAGCAAAAAAAGGAAAAAGAAAAGAAAAAAAAGTGGGGAAAAAAGGGAAAGGGACGAGAAAATGAAGCAACAGCAGAAAAAAAGAGAAGAAGAAAATGTAATTAATAAAACCTTCCCTAGATCCCTTTAACACTACTGAATTTGAATCCGATAAAGCTACAGCCTACAAGGAAAGAAACACGACCAGAGAATTAAATTTCATCATACAAACTCAATATTACTTATGTATGCAAGAACAAATGAAAATAATTCAAATAGAGCTAAAAAAAATTATACAAATGAAATAAAAGTAGAACTGAAAGAAATTGGAAGAAAAATTGAAAACTTAGAAGAAAAAATGGCTGCAGTAGAAATACTCACAGAATGTTAATGATTAAATGAAAACTCTAGATAAAAAAATAGAACAACTGTAAAAAAAAGTATCAGACATGGAAGACAGGGAGTGGAGGAAAAATCAACGCATTTGAGGAATTTCTGAAATAGATCTGTTTAATGTGGGCTACATGCCAGCCTTTTATTCAGGAACCTTGTGGAAGACTGAGACAGTTTTGAGACAGTTTTGTACAGCAACCAATCACACACATTTACAGTAATAAACACTCCCACATGAATATTACAACTCCTCCTTTCTATCTTGGAGATCCTGGAGATAATTGGGTTAAGTGCTAGAAGTAACTCAATTACCTCCAGGGATAGAGAATATCCTCCATTTTATATGAACAGTAAAAAAACATAGAGATATATATTTATTTCGAACAGAATCCCCACATTCAACGTATCCCCAGATAGCTTAGATCTGAGCACTCAATATAACCGAATAGCGCTCAGATCCCATACATGCAGTTCAATCGCCATAGAGCTAAAGTCTTGCACAGGAGGATTTCGTCGAAACGAATGAGCTCCATGTGATGGTTATCTGGGTAGTTCTGTTCATGCATTGTCAATTTACCGAACTACACAGTGTTCGTATGAACCTTGAACAGAACGATGAAGGGTCGGTGATTTCAGTGGTGTTCGTGGGAAGTAGTATCCGAAATAAGTTCCTCAAGTTTGTCAACTAACACCGCTGGGCGTTCGACTGTCCAAGATGGACACCGCCACGTGTTCATTTGTACGAACAACGACCACCCAGCCGACCGTTCGGGAGTTGGAAGTGTCTGTGGTTAACCACAATGCTAATGAGGGCAGAAAGGTTAACGAGCAGCACACTTCCCTGCTGGGTGGCTTGCCATTCAGTAGTTCATTCGTATTTAGGTGAATGACAGCAGAACCATATGAACAACCGGCAATTACCGAACAAACAGACAAAACGGTAATAATCCAAAGGCAGAGAGGTCTGCCACAAATACTAAAAGATCCTAATTATGCAAAGCTCCAATTCTTCCAGGATCTATCTCCAGCCACTAGATCAAAATGCAAGTCATTTCATTTCTTTACAATGGCTCTAAGACACAGTTAAATCAAATACAACTGGGGCTTCCTTGTTAAACTCATAAGATTAAATGGACAAACCTCCATAATCAATACTACATCAAGGCGCAGGACTAAATGAAGAAAAACGTTATGAGGATTTCCACATCACTGATTGAAAAACAAGGAAATAAAATGAAAAGAGAGAGCAAGAGCAAAATCTTTTTTTTTTATCTATACTTCTGTTTCCCACCCTCTCTGACTACTAAGTTACAATACAAACTAAAAATATAAATGACGGTGGAAAAGGGAAGTGAGAAAAGGAGGAGAAATTTTTGGCAGAACTACCCATGAGCAGCAGGTGACAAAAAGTGACAAAAAGAGGGGGAAAAATCTGTGCCCCTCACATGGCTCCCACACATGAGCAGCGGGTGGGGGCTTTTAAGTGACAAAAGGTGGGGATTTACTATGTCCCACGTCTAACCCCCACCCATGAGCAAAGGGTGGGGACACTTCAGTGACATAATGAGGGGAGCTACTGTCTCCTGAAACCATGGCTCACACTGGGGATTTAAAAGTTTGGATATTTAAACTTTAGTGATGATAGAATATAATCTTAACTAAAAATGTAACTACATAACTTGGAATCATGTTTTTACTATACAGTTGAATTAGCCATGAGAGAGAGACTGTGACAAAATTATCTTGAAACAATATCAGGTATACATTTGCACAAGCATTCACTAAGCACATACTTTTGTAACTGGCATACAATTTGTACAGCAACATATTTCTGACTACAAATAATTAGAGGGAACATAGCCCTAGATCAGGGGTTCTCAACGTTAGTCCTCAGGACCCCCTACCAGTCCAGGGTTTAGGGATTACCTGGGTGTGTCTAAGGTGTTTAGAAAAAAAAAACACCTTAGAGTCTAAGGTGTTTTTTCCCCTTTTTCTAAACACCTCAGACACACCCAGGTAATCCGCAAATCCTGGACTGGTAGGGGGTCTTGAGGACTGGGTTGAGAACCCCTGCCCTAGATGATGACAGGCATTGTAGACTAGACTGCTTCTTTCACATTCTCTCTTTAGCGGTGCTCATCCACTTCAGCCCTTTCTCCTGTGACTAGACTCAAGCAGTTCAGCCTCAGCAGAGCATGCTGCAATTACATGACTGTGTGTGTTGGCAGTGATTGACTCATGGCTAGTTCCTCAGTATCAGCTTCCAGCCAGTTTAACCAGCAACTAACAAGGCAGACTTGCCTTCACTAGTTTTAAGGCACCGTGCATAAATGTCTAGTTTTAATAGGAAAATAAATACTGGCCTGCAATGGGAGATACACAGCTAACCTTTACAAAGTCTGAGTATGAAATGTCCTAGATTTGGAGATACAGCCTTTAATGCTCTCTCCTCTGTCAATGCCGATGATTGCCACATTGACATGTAAATGTACAAACTAGCCGCATTTTGTCATAAAAAAAAAACTTTAATTGCATGCAAAAATCTCAAGCATCAATATTTCTTTCTCCTTACAAGATCAGGTGCCATAATTAAAATTATCAGTTAAAAATCAATTTAATTTCTGCCATTAAAGACTTATCTGTAGCTGATAAATACTACTTCAAATAATATTTTGATTTTCTAAATTTCAAATCTCCTTTCAGTTGGGTTTTGTCATTTGCATAGAATAAAGGCCTAAGTAAGAAGGAGTTTTAATCTTTAATGATCAAAAGATTAAAAAATAGTCATCAGTTGTATACCTTGCCAATCTCTTTGTGTGTCCTTATGAATATCTCAGGACCCACTTGTACAATTGCATTAGCTACTGAATTCTGCTATAATGGAAAATGATGTACTGAGCGACAAGTGTTAATAAATCCAATATACAACCTTGACTGTTATACATTATGATAATTTGTGACATTATTTATATCAATAGTAAGGGTCAAGTCATTAAAAGAATAAAAAGGTGGCATTAATGTTGCCAGCAACATAATTCTAATGTACTTTGTCCAGAAAGGCCATGACCAATATGTATAATATTGAGTTAGCTTTGATAAAAAATGTTGACTCGGCTTGGTATTTTCCCATTGGGGCTTAGAGCTCAACAACAATCTCATGAATAATTTTCTCTCCATAATACTAAAGGGACAGAAGTAAATAGCTACATTAGCATTTAGCAGTAAAGCAAGTAAATGGCATGGCCATATCCACTTAATATGATTTAACTACAACATACTTTCTCTATTGCAAATAGCAGATGCTAAAGTATAGATGAATACAGTTTTTAGATTTTAATGGTTAGCATAAACTAGGTGAGCTTTCCAATTAGGGCGTTGGTTGTTACTGATCTAATGTAAAATAGCACATTTGTTCTTAAATTTGCATAAAACAGTGTTTACATAATAGATCTGTTAATATATTGTGTGTTAAAATTTGTGACTGAAATTAAAGTGTGTATGTTGTTCATAATTGTCCTGAACAGGGGTTCTTTTTACAGTGATGAAAAAGAACCACAAATTGAATGTGGGTGTTATTAAAATATGTATGATTGGGAAGGCCGTTATTTCAGAAATGATAACAAGAATGTATAAACTACTGTCACGTTTACATTGTGGTAAAC